GGGACTAGCGGGCCGGCCGCGGGGGCGGGGCCTTGGCAGGAGCGGAGGGGCAGGGGTGGGGCCGGGAGAGGCGGGGCCGCCGTGCGTTTGGTTGCGCCGACGTGGGAAGGGGCCGCGCTGCGGGAGCCGGGAGGGATCGCTCGGGATTGTGGGAATGTGGAGGACTCGGCCGCCGCGCTCTTTTTAGCTACCGCGCTCACCTGGCCTGGCTGCCCGCCCCAGCCTGCACTGTGCGTGTAACACCGAGACTGCGCCTACCTGCAAGCGAACCTTCACTGATCCATTCCTGGAACAAGCGCTAGTGGACGCCTGTGGTAAACCAGACATTAGCGCAGCGCCTGTTTGTAAACCTGCCATCTCTAGACTAGGTTCAGATCAGCGGTTAATAATGCAGCACCTGGATAGACCGGGCACGGGCCAGGCAATGGTGCAGCGTCTAGTATAGACCAGACAGGACACAGAATAAATTGATTGCCTACTAGATACCAGGCGTTGATGTAACACCTGCTGTACAGGAGATACAGACCGAGTAATAACGCAGCATCCGGTATAGACTAGACAGGGCCCAAGCTGAGGAGTCCCTACTGCATGCCCGATGGACCAGATATTAATACAGACAGGGGATGTGCATTAAGAGAGCACCTGTTGTTCACCAGACATAGATTAAGCATTAATACAGCCCCTACTGTATTCCACACATAGACCCGACATTAATGCAAAACCTGTTACATACCAGGCACTGACCAGGCATTTGTTTGTTTTTTTGTTTGTTTGTTTGTTTTTGTCTTTTTTGAGACAGGGTCTCGCTATGCAGTTCAGGCTGGCCTTGACCTCACTTTGTAGCCCAGGCTGATCTCAAACTCGAAACAATCCTCCTTCCTCAGCCTCCCGAGTGCTGGGATTACAGGCATGTGCCACCACGCCCGGCTTGACCAGGCGTTATAGCAGCATCTGCTGCCAGGAGTGGTGATGCACACCTATAATCCCAGCACTGGAAAGGCTGAGACAGGAGGATTGCCATGAGTTCGAGGCCAGCCTGAACTATAGATTTTGTATACCAAAAAGAATAGTATTCCCTGACACATGAAAGGGATATGACTCTCCAGCTTTAAGCTCCGTACTGTCATCCACAGGAGCAGAGCTGAGGAGTTACAACCAGCCCTAAAATATGTCCTTTTCCCTTTTTTTCTTCTTTTTTGTTTGTGACGCTGAGGTTGGAACCCAGGGCCTTTGCACCTACTGGGCTAGTCCTCTCCACTGAGCCGCATTCCCAGCCCACCTAGAACATTTTCTATCTGGCTTCTTACAGAATGAGACCTAAATACACACTAGGTGCTCAATATTTTTGTTTCTGAGGCGGGGTCTCGCTATGTAGTACAGGCTGGCCTTGAACTGACTCCGTAGCCAGGCTGGCCTTGAACTCAGGGCAATCCTCCTGCCTCAGGCTCCCCGGTGCTGGGGTGATAGGCGCGTGCCACCACGCCTGGTTAATCGATGTATATTGAATGAGGAGTAAAAAAAGCACTGAAAAGGCTGGCGTACTGTCGGGGCCAGAAACCCACTGTGAAGAGGGGGATGCCGAAGTCTTGCACAGGACTTTGGCCCAAGCCAGCAGAACCTGCCTGCCCTGCCCAGACCCCTGATCCCCATGCCCCATCGCCCTGTCTTGCTGGCTGCACCTCGGTATGCTGCTTCCCAGTCTTGAGATAAAGGGTGCAGGGCAGGTCAAAGTCTCCATTTATGAGTTGATTGGGGTAGGGAGATTATCTCGCTGAAACTCCTGTCTCTAAGGCCTTTGTCCCTGCCTCGCAGACACAGGCAGGGGAGGGGCTCTGGTGCATTGATTAAATCTCCATTGCAGGGAAAATTGAGAACTAGGAGTGAAGCCGGGCGTGGTGGCGCACACCTGTAATCCCAGCACTTGCGAGGCTGAGGCAGGAGGATCATTGTGAATTTGAGACCAGCCTGGCCTACAAAGTGAACTCAAGCCCAGCCTGAACTGCATAGCGAGACCCTGTCTCAAAAAGACAAAAAAAAAAAAAAAAAAAACAGCAACAACAAGGGCTGGGGATTTAGCTCAGCAGCAAAGCACCTGCCTGGCAAGCACAAGGTCATGAGTTCAATTCCTGGTACCAGAAGAAAAACAAAAAAACAAAAAGACAAAAAAATAAAAAATAAAAAAAATAAAAATGGCCAGGTGTGGTGGTGCATGCCTGTAATCCCAGCACCTGGGAGGCTGAGGTGGGAGGATCATTGTGAGTTCGAGACCACGCCTGGGCTACAAAGGGAGCTCAAGGCCAGCCTGAACTGCATAGCGAGACCCTGTCTCAAAAAGACAAAACAATAAAAAATAAAGAAAAACAAACAAACAAAAACAGCAAAGCTAGCCATGGAGGTGCATCCTTGTCATCTCAACACTCGGGGAGGCTGAGGCAGGAGGACTGTAAGTTCTTGTATACAGTAGGTGCCCAATAAATAAAGAGCAGCCTTGGCTTGAAGTCTCCAGTGGCTTCCTCTCACTGCTGCCCGGCATTCACAGTTGTATTTGTGACGGGCCACGCTAAACGTTGTCCTTGTCACTAACCAGAGAGGAAGCAGCTGGGGCATCCCTCTCTCCTGGCCATGCCCCACACTGGTGCCGCCCTCCTGCACGTGTGCCCGCCTAGGCAGCTGCATCACTCCCATCCACGCCTTAGTGTCACCCGCCATCCTGTCTCCAGGCCTGACCTTACCCAGCTCCAGACTCGGGGTCTCACTGTGCCGGGACATCCCTCCATTAGGGTCTCACGGGCTCTCACCCTCACTGTGGCCAAAACTGAGCTCCAATTTCACCCCCAAAAGCCTCATCTCAAAGCCTCCATCCCTCAACTGATTATGGTAGCGCATACTTGTAATTGTACCTCTCAGGAGGCAGAGGCAAGAAGACCATCAGGAGTTCGAGACCAGCCTGGCTACGTAGTGATTTCCTGGCCACCTTGAACTACCTAGAGAGACCTTGTCTCAAAACAAGCAAACAGACAGGTGTGGTGGCGCACGCCCGTAATCCCGGCACTCAGGAGGCTGAGGCAGGAGGATGGCTGTAAGCTCCAGGCCAGCCTGGGCTACAAAGTGAGTTCAAGCCCAGCCTGAACTGCATACTGAGACCCTGTTTCAAAAAGACGAAAAAATAAAAAAAAGAAAAACAGCTTCCATCTCAGCTGACCCTACCACAACGCCCACCAAGCCTCTTCCTGTCATCTCCTAGATTAAACTAGACCCACAGTGGTCTCCAGAATAATGCCCTGTTCTTCTCACTCAGCACATTGTTCCCGATTTCCAATAAGCCCTTTTCCCTTATCAATGGTTATTTATTGAGCACTTACTGTGCGCCAGGCACTATATTAGATATTTACTTTTGCAGTGCTGGAGATGGAACCCAGGACCTCAAGCACATGAAACAAATGCTGTATATTGAACTACTTCCCCAAGCTTTTTGATGTGGAGACAGCGTCTAAATTGCCTAAATTGGGTCCAATTTGTGATCCTCCTGCCTCAGCCTTCTGAGAAGTTTGAATGATGGGTATATGCCAGCACACCTGGCTAGGCTGGATTTTTATGAGAAGAATCCTTTCTCCCACATGTGAGCATCTCTCACACAAGGAGCTTCATCCTGCTCCTCCACGACTGTGCCCCCAGGGCCAGAGCAGGGCCTGGTGTTCAGTAGGAGCTGGACAAATGTTTGCAACATCAGCCAAAGAACCCAGCTCTCGTGTTTCTCCTCTGTCTCAAGGGAAAAAACGTTGTGTTTTCCTTCTTCCCTCCCCTTTCTGAGGGGGTAAAATGCAGAATCAAACTGACTTTTGTGGCTGGTGGACTTGGGCAGATGCCTTAATCTCTCTAGTCTTTCCTCACTTGTAAGGGGGGGGGCACATTATGTTCTTCAGACAGTTATAAATGGCCAAGGTCAAGGGTCTTGCAAATTATACACTAGGAGCTTAATATGTGCTTACTTGTTTGGTTTGTTTGTTTGTTTGTTTGTTTTGTGAGGGGAGAGGGTTTCCGGTACCGGGAATCGAACTCACGACCTTGCACTTGCCAGGCAGGTGCTGTGCCGCTGAGCTAAACCCCCAGCCCTTCTTGTTTGTTTTTTTGATAAAAGATCTTCCTGTATAGCCCAGCCTGGCCTCCCTCACACTTTCAGGGATCCTCTTGCCTCAGCCTCCCAAGGGCTGGGATTATAGGTGTGTGGCCGTTTCAAAGGTCTCTTTATAAAGTTTCCGTGGCTTCTATGCTGGGCACCCTCTGGCTCCCTGTACAACTGACCCTCAGGGACTGTGACCTGCTACTGGGGGTGATGAGCAGGGAGGATCGCTTGAGCCCAGGAATTTAAGGCCATCCTGGGTATGAGGAAAAAAAGTAAGAAAGCAAGAAAATAAGAGCAAGAACATCATTAGACAAAAATACAAGAAAGCGGGCCGGGCATGGTGGTGCACGCCTGTAATCCCAGCACTCGGGAGGCTGAGGCAGGAGGAT